TTACAAAGCCATCGTATAAGTAGGGCCTATGAGAACTTTTCAGACCCCACATACATACATACATACATACATACATACATACATACATACATACATACATACATACATACATACATACATACATAATATATATATATATATATATATTATATACATATGTGTATATATATATATATTATAGACATATATATGTATATACATATATATATATATACGCATTGATTATATATAATATATATGTATATGATGTGTGTACTTTCTAGATATAAATACACACACATATAAATATACGTATGTATATATGTATGTCTCTCTCTCTCTCTGCGCACACTTGCTCGTGCTTGTGTGTCTGCGTCTGCGCCCGCATCTGCGTCTACGTGGCTGTGCGTGTGTGTGTGTGTGTGTGCGCGCGTGTATTATGTCGTGTGTGCATTGTAGGTTCAGGGCCCTATGATTTCAGGGGTGTTATGAGGATTCGGGCTAACTCAGGATCTAATAGGGTTTGGTTTGGTGTCGTAGAGCGTCAAGCTTCACTTCAGGCTCTGAGGGATTTTGCCTTATAGGGCTCCGCCTGGCACCTAGATAAAGGGATGGGGTTGGGGAGTTACGGTTTCAGGTTTAGGGGTGTTCGGACGGATCTCGGGTGTGGGGTTCCGGGGTTCAGGGATTTGAGGTTTTGGCAAAGAGGCTACCTTTGCTACCAGGGGGACTCTTGACAACATTTTAGGGCATCATATGTGCAGCCTTATGCTTGTGTACTTCCCTTTGGCAGCCTAGTCACTCAGATTTTGGGCTGGGCTTGCGGGGACTTGTAGGATAGTATAAGGTCCGGAGGAACTCTGTTTTGATATCCTCCAAGCCTTTACTATTTTTCTAGGGCCCCGTATAGTGACTACTGCTCATGGGGCTTCTCGCCCTGAAGCCTTAAAGCCCTGCAACACCACCATCCTACAGCCCCAACCCTAAAACCCTTGTAACACCGGTATCGAAAAGCCACACAGCCCTGTATAACCGCCCTTATAGAACCATCCCGCCTCATGGGATCTTCTCTAGGCTCCCTTAACCCTAAACCCTAACCTAACCCCTAAACGCTAAGCTGATCTCGACTCATTGCCTTGTCGCGCTCGCCCCGCGCACGGCCAAGGTTTCTTGTCAGCTTAAGCCACAAGACGAGATGGATTTGGTGTAGGGCTTCGGGAACACGAGATGGGCTTCGGGATGTTTAGGCTTTGGGGGCGGGTTCTAGGGTTTGGGATTTGGACTCGTTTCCTCACGCGTTCCAAATCTAACCTTGAGTCTGGGTCCTTACGGTTTACAGAGGTAGGCTTCCCGACGAGATCCGTTTTGGGAAACACACCGACAGGTTCCAGGAAATTGTTACGCATCATCTCAAAGCAGACTGAACATAAGCATGGTAACTGTAGGCACAACTACCTGCAACCCGAAACCCTAAACCCCTAAACCCTAAACCCTAAACCCTAAACCCTAGTACCCAGCCCCAAGAAATCCTAAGGGTTCACGTGCCCATATGGGAGTTTCCGAAAATTAGGGGTACCCTATTTTGGGGTCCTTATAAAAAGGATCCTATTATTTGGGGTACTATATTAGGGTCCCCTATTTTCGGAAACCCCCATATATAGCATATACATGTATATACATCGACCTCGAAGTGCCTATATCGGGACCACTTTAATTAAAGCCCAAAAAAAGAAGTGTGGACACACAGGCCCTTGCTCTTAAAGAGCGTGAGATTCAAGGCCATGGTCTTCGTACTTCTACTAAACCGTAAACCCTAAACCCCTAAACCCTAAACCCGGGACCCTCCAACCTCAGGGCTTTCTGGCGCTAGTGGCGACGTCCACTACAACAACACAAGCGAACTGCTGCGGAGGGTCTAGTCAGAGTCTGCAACGGAGCAAGAATTTACATGCTAGAGGGGCCTAAATAATTAGAATAGGCTTCTGGGGCCCATTATACTACAGCTCTAAAAAGGAAACCCCAAATTGGCATTGGTAATTATTCGTCCCTATATTACCCGCAACCCCGAGTTTGGGATCGATGGCTTTTCCCCAGGTGGCCCATGGAGGGTCCTGGTGAACATTAGGGTCCTGGCCGTCCACGCTCTCCTAACTTCGAAACAGCTCTAAACCCTATAAACCCTAAACCATACCCTAAACCCTAAATCCTAAACCCTAAATCCTATAAACCCTAAACCATACCCTAAACCCTAAACCCTAAACCCTAAATCCTATAAACCCTAAACCATACCCTAAACCCTAAACCCTAAATCCTAAACCCGAAACCGTGCTCTTGAGCTAAGACCGCCAACTCTCAGTGGAGAGCCTCCAACCTGCGAACCCTTCAAGCCTCAAACATACGGGTTTAGGGTTTAGGGTTTAGGACAATCATGACATGCTCGTAGATAAGTAGGAACTATGACCAAAATTATAAAGTGTGAGTCGTGTGCAATATGCTGCTATGAAAATATTACACACACACACGATGTAAGGCCCCACACTTGGTTCATATACCAGAACCATAAACCCAAACCCTAAAGCCTAAACCCTAAACCCTAGACCCCAAACCCTAAACCCTATAATAAAGCCTAAACCCTAATGGTTTCGTTTTGCAGCATGCAGTCCGGTCGGTCCCGGGCTCTGGAATGTGGATGCCATGAGCAGATTGAATTCCGGGGCTTGGGCTTCGGGTTTAGGGGGCGTTAGGGGGGTTTATGTAGGGTGTACGGGCTTTAGCGGGTTTATGTAGAGTTTAGGGTTTAGGGGTTTGGGCCTAGTACTTAGGGTTTAGAGGTCTAGGCTTAGGGTTAAGGGTTAAGGGGGATTGGGTTTTCCAGGGTTCAGGAGTTTGGGTTTGAAGGCTAAGGCGTGCATTTGGAGATCACGACGTTTAGGCGAAATATGTTGTGCGTGATGGTGGTGGCAGAATTATCCTGGGCAGCTTCTCGGAAAGGTTTGGTTGCTGTCATGAACTTCATGATTTAGAGTAGAACCCTAATCCCTAAACCCTCAAGTAGATCCGAATATCTACAACCTGATGCCAGCATCACCATCCCAGAGTCATGACGCAGAGCATCGCGCACTCTCTTCACATAAACGGCTGCAGACGAAACCCTCGATGTGGGCTTCAGTCATCCTGGGAAGACATCGGAGAGCGAGGAGTAGACCTCAGTAGCTTCGGAGCACAAAGCGCAGCAGAAAGTGCAAAGGCTTCAGGATTGACCCCCCTCGGGACGTTGGCTTTTACGTGTGATGCCCCGGAGTGTAGACTGCAGGGTGGGTTGAAATGTTCTCTTTCCGGCCTTTAGGTGCCGCATCTTTGAGTCCATGGCTTTGTGAGGCCGGGCTCACGATCCAGCCACTTGAGGCCCGGAGTCTGCTTTTCCGAGCCCAAACAACATACACAGAGCAACCCGAGAATCCACACATTCCGTCTTTTGTCGCAAAACAAGAAAAATGACCATCATGCAAAACCTGGCTGTGGAGTACGGTGCCGCAGCACATGTCTGTCTTCAGTTTAGAGACGGCTCCGAGCATTCCTGGCATGTGCGAAGAAGGTTACGGAGCGGTCGACACGCAGGTGGCCACGAAGTGCTGTCGCACCTTCCTGTGTGAAGAAGCCTGTGCCCCTCGCTGATCTGGACTGGCTTCTCTTCCATCGCCCTCTCTGTGAAAGGGGCAAGTCGGGAAAACTCTCATGGTGAGGAGCTGCAGGTGACTCCTGCCACCAAGCTTTCCTGGGTAGGCACGTCTCCCAATTACCATGCTATTGATCCCAGCCTCATGTCACTCTGTTGCGGAGTACTTTCATCGTGGGGCTCTGTGCAGCCTCCCACAGCACATAAGTACATGCCACCGGCACTGCTCCCGGCACTGCTCCCTGCATCACAGAGCTGTTTAGCTTGCTCCTGGCAGGCGATCTTCGTCTACAACCCGGAAAATTGTATCTCCCTGAACCCCAACTCGGTCATCCCGAGCAGCCCCGGCGCTTGAAGAAAGTCGAACCTAACATGTCGGGGGGTTCGGGCACACGGGTGACTCAATCAGTCCTGGGCTGGACCTGGGAATTTTAATCCCTGAAGCCTCAGGGGTTTAGGGTCTATAGGGTTTAGGGAACCCTATCTGTACCCCAATCTGGGTTCTTGTTAAGACTTTATAATAATAATAATAATAATGTAGGTTACCATAATAAGGAAACACTTCTAGCTACTGTAGAGCACGAACTCAGTCACCCTAACATCAGCTCTCTACCCCCGCGAATCTTGAGACCCTAAGGCTGAAAGGGGTTTAGGGTTTAGGGTTTGCTATACTGAACTTAGACCCCTAGCCAAAACTATATTCTTAGCTGCTTCTTAGGGATTATAGTAGCCAAAGATTAAAAAATATTTCTAAGTACCCCTAAGTTTGAACAACTCATTATGGCAACCTTAATAGACAGGACCCTAAAAGGGACCCTATTGTAGAAAACTACCCTCATCACTTAGGCTTCAGCCGCCTGCTTTTCTGCGCCATGTTCATCGCCACCTCGGCCTGCCATAGCCAAAATTGAGGCACCGTGTCTTCGTGGCTTTGTGTTGGGGATCAGGCCGCAACAAGGATCCAGCTATCCAG